CCCAGCTGGCTTTCATGTCTAAGGTAGGACTAGAACTCCCAATCGCCAGGTGATTCGCCCAAAGTCACCCAGCCAGCTTTCATGCCTAAGGCAGGACTAGAACTCACCGTCTCCTGGTTTCTAGCCTGATGCCTTTACCTCTTTCTTCCCACCATGCTGGTTGATCTCCCCGATCCTCGCTTTTTCCTCCTCTCTTCTCTCCCCTTTGCAGGGTGCTGGGCAGCGTCTCCCAATTTGAGGAGTTTGGACGGGTCTTCCACTGTCCCAAGGACTCCCCCATGAACCCCACACACAAGTGCTCCGTCTGGTGAAGCGCCCACCTGCCCCGTCCCTGCCTGCATCCAGCCTCTATCAACACACCGGCCGGCATCGTCCTGGTCCATGCCACTGGCCGGGCAGTGGGAGAGGAGAGAAGTCCTCCTAAAATTCCTAGAGCGGTCTGGCCTCCGGGGATAGGCCCACGCCTGCCAACAGCCCCCCCTCTGCACCCCAAAATCTTTGGGGCACCAGAGTAAAAAATAGCTAACACAAGTCTAACACACCTCCTGTGATCTCCTTCCATCTGTACAATCGCTCAGGACACAAAAGGAACCGCTTCCGAAGGGACATTTTGCTGCTGTTCGTTTTGGACCCTGCCAAAGCTTTTCTGCTCTGCCTCCAGACCCATTTTTTTATTTTTTTTTTTATTTTTATTTTTATTATTATTATTATTATTATTATTATTATTATTATTATTATTATTATTATTATTATTATTACTAGCTGTACCCAGCCACGCGTTGCTGTGGCTCAGTCTGGTAAAAGCGTGTGTTGCTTTTATATCCAACAGATGGCGCTGTTTTTCAAAAAAAGCATGTTTTTACCTGTCACAGGTATGACATCTATATAATATAGGTATACAAAAACATGCGCGTATTCGAATGCAACGTTGTGTCAAAATTTCAAAGCAATCGGTGAAGAACCTTTGGAGATTTAAGATTTTGAACAAACGAACATTTACATTTTTATTTATATAGATTATTATTATTATTATTATTATTTTGGGGCTGTGTGTGTTTTGCTATTCTATTGTGCTAACGCCGCTCAAGTTCCAAAGCTACGAGTAGTCCTCAACATACAACCGTTCATTTAGCCAAGGCACCGACAAACGTGAGTTACAACCAGGACTCACAACCGAACACGGCGTCCCCGTAGTCACGGGATCAAAATTCAGAGGCTCGGCAACGGACTCATATTTATGACGGTCGCAGTGTCCCGGGATCACGTGATCGCCATTTGCGACCTTCCCAGCCAGCTTCCGACATGCAAAGTCAATGGGGGGGGAGAATCTGGATTCGCTTTAACGACGAGACGATTCGCTGAACGACGGCAGCCATCCGCTGAACACCCATGGCAAGAAAGGCCGTAAACTTAACTCACTTAACAACTGCCTTGCTTAGCAACAGAATTTCCGTGGTCGTAAGTTGAGGACTACCTACACGTGATGCCTCGTCTAACCTTTTCGCTGGTTTCAATACTATCCTTTCGGTGTTTTGATTTGGTTTGATTTGATTTAAATTCAGCCGGACTAACGCGACGGCATTTTGTAATTAATTATAATTTGCTGTAAACCTTTTTTTTTTTAACAAAAAAATACTATTATTTTTTTTTTTTGCTTTTCTCCTTGCACGCTCTCGAATTACTTCCCTGGAGGGTCAGGATGATGGACCGGACTTTTCTTCAGGTGGATTGTAGAACTAAAATTTCGATGAGCTGCCGACGGTCACCGTGTCCCTCAAATCAGCACCCCTGATTAGAATTGGGGTTCAGCCAAGCCCCCTGCCCTGCTTCTCCCCAGCTGGCCCTTTCTTTCTTCTGTGTCCGAGACTTTTGGATTGTGTTGAACAGAGAAGCACAAATTGTCCTATCGCTCAAACAAGGTCTGGTTTAACCACACAAGCACACTTTTCTCTAGAGGATGCTGTGACTTGTTTGCTTAATCACAATTGTGGCTTGATGCCAGCCTGTCTGATCAGCTTGGGGCCCTTAACTCTGAAAGGAGGCTCCGGGATGAGTCCCAAGGCATGGCCCCCAATTCAGAAGAATAGAATAGCAGAGTTGGAAGGGACCTGGGAGGTCTTCTAGTCTAACCCCCTGCTCAAGCAGGAGACCCTAGATCAGGGGTCTTCAAACTTGGCCCTTTTATGACTTGTGGACTTCAACGCCCAGAATTCCTCAGCCAGGCACAGCGTGCCTGGCTGAGGAATTCTGGGCGTTGAAGTCCACAAGTCATAAAAGGGCCAAGTTTGAAGACCCCTGCCCTAGATCATCCCAGACAAATGTTTGTCAAGTCTTTTCTTTAAAACTTCCAGTGTTGGAGCACCCACAACTTCTGGAGGCAGGTTGTTCCACTGGTTAATTGTCCTCACGGCTAGGAAATTCCTCCTTAGTTCCAGGTTGCTTCTCTCCTTGATTAGTTTCCATCCGCTGCTTCTTGTTTTGCCTTCGGGGGGCTTTGGAGAATAGGCTGACACCCCCCCCCTTCTTTGGGGCAGCCCCTCAGATACTGGAGGTGAGAGTTGCCTGAAGACCAAAGTGCATAGAGAACTGGAATTGGGGCCACACCAGGCGCAAAATTCCCTCTTAAGGGGTTTTTGTTAAGCTTATTTTTTTAAGCTTACAAGGGGGGGCTTAGCTTAAGATGGATCCAGACTGTAGCTGAAATAGTGGGAATCTACGCTGTGGGCTCCGATGTAGTTTGATGGGAGATCCGTGTTGGGTTTTTTTCCCCAGCCTCACGGTTGGGATCAGAAGTCCTGGAAGTCATAACCGCTCGGGAACTGTGGGAAATGTAGTCCTACCCATCCCTTAGGTGCAGGCGTTAGAGAAGGTAGGCCAAATTCATGCTCAGCCAGGCAGCTGCATGCCTGTGTGCACACACACATATAATCCACATTCTCTCTCTCTCTCTCTCTCTCTCCCTCTTTCTCTCCCTCCCTCCCTCCTTCTTTTCCTCCCTCCCTCTTTTCCTCTCTCCCTCCCTCTCTTCCTCTCCCTCCCTCTCTTTTCCTCCCTCCCTCTCTCTCTTCCCCCTCTCTCTCCCTCTCTCCCTCCTCTCTTTCCCCCTTTCTCTCTCTCCCTCCCTCCCTCTCCCTCTTTTCCTCTTTCCCTCCCTCCTCTCTCCCCCTTTCTCTCCCTCCCTCTCTTTTCCTCTCTCTCCCTCCCTCTCCCTCCTCTCTCTCCCTCCCTCTCTCTTTTCCTCTCCCTCCCTCTCTCTTCCCCCCTCCCTCCTCTTTCCCCCCTTTCTCTCTCTCCCTCCCTCTCCCTCCCTCCCTCTTTTCCTCTTTCCCTCCCTGCTTTCTCTTTCCCCCTTTCTCTCCCTCCCGCTCTCCCTCTCTCTTTCTCTCCTTGCCTCCCTCTCCCTCCCTCCCTCCCTCTCGCTCCCCCTCCCTCCCTCTCTCTCACGGCCAGTGAGTGGAGCTGCCTGGCCAGTCAGCCACAGCAGCCCCTTTGTACAGAAATGTCGCGTTGTATTTTTATCTGGTGCGGATGACATCAAAATAAAAAAGGCCAAAGCCGTTTTTTTTTGTGCATGGGCAACAGAGCGTCTGGCATTCATTGGTCATCTAGGTATTTGCAGGTATCAAAAGGCGGATGGCAGAGGGTTCCGACACGGTGAATTACAACATCATGACGTCTGTGGAGATTCTCCGTCACCCACGTCATGGTTGTCGCAAATGTTTTTCAATTTTCAATGTATTCCAATCAGTCAGCCTCTAGGCCAGGGGTCTTCAAACTTGGCTCGTTTATGACTCGTGGACTTCAACTCCCAGAATTCCTGAGCCAGCCATGCTGAGGGGAAGGGAGAGGTTTCCAAGCTGAGCCATGCTGGCTCAGGAATTCTGGGAGTTGAAGTCCACAAGTCATAAAAGAGCCAAGGTTGCCTATCCCTGCTCTATCCATACTGCCCCAGTACAAAAGCTAGCGTGAAGAGGTTAAGGAAGCAATTATCTCCAATCCACAAACTGCTTCTCAACTTATGCTGTGCAAAGTCCCACCTTCAAGAGCCCCTAACTCTGATGACCCTGAGGCAAAGAAAATAAAACAAGAGCTCCTCACTGACCATTGGTTCAAGGACAATCAAACCTCCCTAACATGCAGGGATGGTTTGGCTTACAAAGGTGGAAAACTATATTTGCCAGAGACCCTTCGCCTTAACACGCTCCGACACGGCCAGGACGTAAAACAGGCTGGGCACTTTGGATATTAAAAAACACTACACCTCATCCACCGTCAATTCTGGTGGCCGGAATTGAAACGGGATGTGGAAAACTATGTCTGGAGTTGTGCTGTATGTGCCACCATGAAAAGAATTCCGGGAAACCCCCAGAATTCCTGAGCCAGCATGGCTCAGCTTGGAAACCTCTCCCTTTCCCCTCAGCATGGCTGGCTCAGGAATTCTGGGAGTTGAAGTCCACGAGTCATAAATGAGCCAAGAATGCCAAACCCCTGGGACAGAGCATCTGCTAAGAAGTTTTTTCCTCCCGCTATGTACTTTAGGGTGAAATTAAAACGGTTAAAGTACTATGCCTACCGTACTTGTTTTGGGGACAATTTGCGAAGAGTCTTTAGTGCTTCTAGTTTTTTTGTGATCAATCCATACTTCGAAAGGCACCTTACTGTCTTCTAGATAGTGTCGCCAGTTTAATAGAGCCCAGCGGATTGCAAAAGCTTCCTTTTCCCACACAGCCCACCTCCTCTCGCAGTCAGTGAATTTTTTCAAGGTGTAGGTGCAGGGCTGTAGGGTCCCACTCTGGTTCTTTTGCAGTAGCACAGCTCCGACTCTCATCCATATCCCCCCTCCCAGCATCAACTAACTCTAAAAGCAAAAGAGAAAAGATGGCTACATTTCCATCTGTTGTCAAAGCAAGAACATTCGATGTTAGCAGCGTTGACATCTGCCCCGTCTTGAATCACACTCTAAATTCAGATGGAGGTACCCAGAATGCCCCAGGGGAGGCCTAGCAGATCCAGAGGAACAGGGGAACCAGGAGGAGACCCGCCAGGCCGGCCTTGGGTGCAGCTGCGGATGTCTCACTGTAATAGTTGCGTAAGTTGTAGGGCTCCAGGCCGCTGGCGTAGGCCATGACGTGAGCAATGTAGGATTGTTCCTGCACTCCGTGGAAGAGGTGGGCCATTGGTCCTTTGGCCATGATGGCCACGTCCTCCCCTCCGTGGGTCTCCGAGACGAGGGGTACGGTGGCCTGCTGGTGGTAGGTGTCATTCTCTGGGGAGGGGAGAAGACCAGTGATTAGATGGGTAGAAGGGAACTTTTTGAGACACTAATGAAGAGCATGACACGAACTCGGCACCCTTGCCTCTCCGGGGTGCTTTAGTTGAATCCCTGCAAATGAAGCACAAGCCGTCTTTGTCACTTAGCTCGAAAGAGGATTAGTGACCACAGACGTGCTGTCACCAGACATATACAGATAGTCCTCAACTTATAACAGTTCATTTAGTGACCGAAATTACAACGGCACTGAAAAAGGTGACTTGGGACCGTTTTTCACACTTAACGACTGTTGCTGCATCCCCATGGTCACGTGATCAAAATTCAGACATTTGGCAACTGATTCATATTTATGACGGTCGCAGTGTCCTAGAGTCACGTGATCCCATTTTGCGACCTTCTGACAAGCAAAGTCAATGGGGAAGCTGGATTTGCTTAACGACCGTGTTACTAACTGAATAGCTGCAGTGATTCACTTAAATGGACCAAAACTCACTTAACAACTCTCTTGCTTAGCAGCAGAAATTTTGGGCCTGTGGTCGTAAGTCAAGGACTAACTGTAAACCGCAAGCAGAGCTTTTGATCATGGCTGCCATGTTGACTTTTTTGACCTCACCCTGCAAACTCCCCTAGCTAAATCAACGACTGATGAGCTTTTCGCCTCCAGTTTTAATTCCGTCTCTGGCCGCATCTAGACAATCCTTGTTTTGGAAGCAAAGCAAGGTCCGATCTGATTAATGCTGGAAGGAAGACCACAAGGTGATCCCATGAGTGTAAACTAAATTAGAAAATCTAGGGGGGGGGGGGAAATCTTAGGAAAAAGCAGCAGAACCTGCATTGTTGTTATGTTGTCAGCTGCATAGTCCAATATTTCTCAGCCTTGGCAACTTCAACATGCTTGGACTTCAACTCCCAGAATTCCGTGCCAGCTGGGGAAATATGGGAGTTGAAGTCCAGACATTTTAAAGTTGCTAAGGTTAAGAGACACTGGTGGCCAGAGAGTTTTTAATATTGTCTACAGCTGCTTCTTCCTTATATTGTTCTTACTCAAAAGCTGCCTTCCCCAACAGAGTGCCTTCTGGGCAAACTGAACTACAACACCCATTGCTCCCAGCCATGAGAGCCAGCTGGCTTGAAGAGTGATGAGGCACGCAGTTTGAGCCAGTTCAGAATTACACTTACACCAGCCGGGCATTCTGGGTGTGGGGGTCTCTCTGCTTCCAGCTATCGCAGCTTTTAACCCCCACACCCAATTCAAAGTTACAACGGCCCCGAAAAAAATGACTTACGACCGTTTCTTTCACACTTACACCTCATGGTCACCTGATTAAAATTCAATCCCTTGGCAACTGACTCATATTTACGACGGTGGCAGCGTCCCGGGCTCACGTGATCCCTTTTGCGACCTTCAGACAAGCAAAGTCCATGGGGAAGCCAGATTCACTTAACAACTGCAGTGATTCACTTAACAACGGTGGCCAGAACGGTCGTAAAATGGGGGGGAATTCACTTGACAAATGTCTCACTTAGCAACAGAAACCCGAAGCTGTATTGTGGCCGTAAGTCGAAATTAGCTGTATCTGCCTTACCACTGTCTTCCAAGGTCACATCCGGCCGGCCTTTGTCGGTGATCTGGTAGCCTGGCCCGTTGCCGTAAACGATGGAGGTGTACGCCTTGCCATCTAGCCCCTTTCCGGGTGCCAAACCTGGAAGGAAGAATTATTAGACCTTCTGAGCCATCTCTTCCAACTGGTCAGCCTCTAGGACTACAACGCCCATCAAGGAGAATTAGCCTGCTGGCTACTTTGGATACAGTAGGGGCCCGCTAACTTCCATCTTGGGGAAGATCACTCAAAAATGTGTGTATTGTCTCTTCTTGAACCACGCTTTAAATTCCTCAAGCTCCACGTTATCTCCAAGGGGGACCTAGGAGAAGGTGGCTACAGAAACCCAACGCTGGGAAGAAGCTGGGGTGTCTGGTGATGTCTTCTCCTTCCAGATGTCTTAGATCAGGGGTCTTCAAACTTGGCCCTTTGATGACTTGTGGACTTCAACGCCCAGAATTCCTCAGCCAGACACGCGTGCCTGGCTGAGGAATTCTGGGCGTTGAAGTCCACAAGTCATCAAAGGGCCAGGTTTGATGAAGACACCTGTCTTAGATCAACCCACAGCACACTCCAAAGACCAGTGTTAGCAACCTTAAGATATGTGGACTTCAACTCCCAGAATTCCCCAGCCAACATGGCTGACTGTGGAATTCTGGGAGTTGAAGTCCACACGTCTTAATGGAGAAATATCACCTCAGATTATTAGAGGTCTTACCCAGTTCTGTTTTACAAGATCTTTCATGGTTTCCCCCCTCCCATCTTGATCTTTCCTGACCCATAGGTTCCTCGTAAGGGTCTCCACTGTAGGTTTCATGACCTCCCTGAGGGCCAAACAACCTCTTCAGATCCTTCTCTCCAAAAGCTACCCAGCTCACACCACGGTATTTGCTATACCAAAAATGGAGGTTCCCCGGAGGGTGTAGCCTCCAAAGCTGAAGACGTGAGAGTGGTCGGCGGTCAC